ATTTTTTACCAAGTTTTTTTCCAACTGACTTGTTGCAGCCTGGTGATTTATAATGTGGTGTTATGTGGGTAGGAGTGATTTCTCCAGGATTTTTTATTTAAATAAGTGCTGCAGTTTACTGCTGTATTTTTTTCCATATAGTTATAGGCAGACACTTTGTTCAAAAAATTTGAATTCTTGCAACAATAAAAAAGCTAAATCTCAAAAACACTTTGTTGTTAAATTGTTAATGTGAAAATTTGGAGTTCTGTGTTTTTCCAGCTCCGTTAGAAAGGATTTCCTTTCTATGGCATGAATTTTCTAAACTTGAAGTGTAACTGAGTGAACATTAGGGATTATCAGCAAGAAAATATTAATAATAATAATACATGGAACTGATGTTATTTGTCCTTCAGTTAAAGCAAGATACATATTTTTTAAATAATTATCTAACTTAATTATGATTTATAATGTTAAATTATGATGTGATTAATTATCGACTACCCAGGATTAATCAGATTGAAAAATTGAATTGTTTGACTGACAGTGTTTACCACTTTCTAATCTCCACAGTAATCTGTAACTTATTGACCTATCATATTTCAAACATATTACTTTAATACATTCCAAGTCTAATCAAATCATATAACAAAATCTATTTTCTTTGTTATAATTCCACAGAACGTCATTAGGACGATGACATAACACCTAATAAAAACAAAGTAAAGGCAGACATTTGTCACCTTATATAACTCTGTTCTGTAATGTAGACTAAACTCGGAGTTAGATAAAAGCAATATATTTAGCAAAGAGTGTTTGCTCTCGAGAAATGACACATTCTGTTTTATTCCTATATTTTCCCATCATTATTACTCTGCCTCCCACTATGCCAGACGTGCACTTAACTTTTTTCATCCAGCAGTATGCAGCCTTTTTTTTATTAAAAAGATATAAAAAGCAGTGTTGTCATGGCTGATGACTAATGGCGTTCCCCGCCTCAACCTCTCTCTGTCTTTATTCACTTCATTTGTACAAATGCAGAGCACAGAGGTTTTTATTTCCATCTCTTCATTTCACCGACTTCATATATAAAATATAAATGTGCTTTTCTTTATTAAGGTCTTGGAGTTTGGAAAACAAAATTAGAAAGAAAGAACATTTGTAATCAATATATTGAACAGATTAGAAATTATTAATCAAAAATGTAATTCAGGCTAAGAATACACGGTTAAATATTCAAAGAGATGATTCTTATTAGTATATTTAATGAAAAAAAGGTTTTTATTATTTTTGATGGATATTTTTTGTTATTCGTTACTGTTCTGTTTTCTTCTCCTTTGTTAAGTTTTTCTCTTCTTCTTCTTCTTCTTCTTCAGTCATCTTCACATCTACTTTCGTCATTCTTTTTTAAGTTTCATTGTTTCAGTCCTACCATCCTCTAGGAAACAGACATTTGAATATTCAAATATATTATAAACAGACATTTGAATATTCAAATATATATTTAGCAAATGTCTTCAAAAAAAAAAACAAAGTTTTTTTAATGTAAAAACAAACTAACTCCAGCTGCGTTCAGTCAGACGTCCCTCTGTTCAAACAAGGCTAGAATAACGTGTCACTTTACAGAACAAACGTCTCTCTTATTCCCATGGATTTAAAAATGAAATGAAACGGCATGTTTACTGTATGTACCTGAGCGGCTTCTTCAGTTTGGTCCCTCTCATACCCGCCGTTACTGCATTCTCACTTCTAAGCAGTGCACATAGCACAGCATGTAGTCATCCCAGCAGATGCAACACAGGAGGAAATCCATTAGAAAATACATAAATGCGATGAAACGTAGGAGCTTGAAGGGTGAAGATGAAGAGAGAACGCTGGAGAAACTGAAACAGAATGTGTGTTTGGAGGGAAGCTGTTGAGAGGACAGAGACTGTTCAGAAAGAATGCTATAAACATCTTTGTAGCTCTGGATGATGTGCAACATCAGAGAAAAACCTTGGGTTTTATTTTGTGAAACTGTAAACCTGGTTATCTGCCTTCACGTTTCAAAGTGTCACACTTTAACTTAGTGAAAGCAAATAAACAGTCACAAAACTGTAGGCCGAGACGAGACCAGAGGCAGGTGTGATGACAGAACATTGTGTATTTAATTTGGTGTTCTACTGAAGTGAACAAGGGCCAGACTGTGCTCAAGTGGTTAGTGATGTTGCCTTACAGCAAAAACATCACAGGTTTGATCCCTGGTCTCTGATGACATTCCTGTTCAGAGTTTGTGTTTGTGAAGAATGAAAGTGAGCAAACAGCATTTCGCTGCCCTGTCTGGTCTGCAGGTGGTGCTATGTGTGCATTTAGTAACCACCAGTCACTGTGCACTGGTACAGATTCCTACATGGTCCACCACCATGAGTCCTATGTAGGGTTGACCAGGACCTGGTGGAGGTGGGGTCAGTTCTCCAGTCTTACATTTACTGCAAGCCTATGGTGAATTTAAATAGTCAATTAACCTAATGTGTGTTCATCACTGCATGATGCATCAGTTAGCACTGATGATCCAACTATTAACCCTGTTGCTGTAAGGCAGTGTGGTGCCCGGGACATTATCTTTTGTTTCATATCAATTTAATCCTTTCGTCCATTGTCCATTGGACATTGTCTCATACAACACAGAACTGAACAGATTAAGATTCGACAGGAGTTCTGCATTCGTTAGTTTGCATTACTGCCCCCTACTGGGGCTATGTCTACCGGTAAATCCGACATCCAGCGGTAGCTGAAAAAGGAATGCTACATTTTACAATTGTAAGCTGAGAAAAAGCTTCTTTAAGTCTCGGAGAACAAACAGATACAGCAGGCTGTGTAATCTGCACAGCCTTTGTATGTTAATGCCAGCAGCAAGACTAACACACACTCACACATGAGCTCACATTAGGCCTGTCTGACAGTATCTTTGCTCTAATCAGACACTTAATTAGACTGCCAGCAGCATCCCATTAACATGTATTCCTCCTAATTAACCAGGGACGCAGACTTACAGAGGGAGAGAATCAGAGCTGCGGAAATAAAAGATGCTTCTTGAGGTTTCCTTAGATAGATAGATAAAACAACGCAGCCCGAGCCACAAAAGCGTAGCTTGAATAGTTTTTGTCTTTTTTTTTGCTTCTTTGTCACACTGCGGACACAAAAATCTACTTTAATCACTTATACATAAGTCTGACTGCTGAACTGAGGAAGTAGAACAGAAGTCATCATCGTCATTTCTTTGCTTTCAATGTAGTTGACATATTGAAAGGCCTCATTAAAAAGCTGTTTCATAATACTTTAGAGGGTTGACCAAAAAGAAAAAAAAAAAAAACCTTTAAGAATGAACTCACCAAACGTTCCCCTCCGGAACTCATATAACAGTATTTTTTTTCATTTGTATTAATTATTTATATATATTTTTATAGGTTGATTATAATTGTATTTATTATAATTATTTACTCATTTATTTGTGTATTTATTTTGTAGTTTAATTATTCAAATGTTTTTTTGTCACTTTTCTCAACAAAGTGTTTGTTCTGCTGAGAGTTATAAATACAGTGACTTAATTGTAGGTATTGCTTTTTCTTCCCAAAGAAATATCTGTTTCCATTGAGAGGATGATAAACAATGAACACATGATGCCAGCAGGGCAGGGAAATGGATGCCAACTACCATATTACGGCCAAAGAAGAAGAAAAATACACACCTTAGATGTGAACAAGCAGCTGTAACTATAAGATGTTTACACACAAGTCAACATATGGAACCGCGTGCAGTCTGATCATCACCACACATGGGTATTACATCAACCCCAGTATAGCCCTGTCCCTAATAAGGACAAATCCTGTGTCTCATTTAAAGATTTAAAATGTGCTGAGGTGAGTCATCTCTTCACAGTGAGCTGCTGCAACATCAGGCTGAATAAACTGGGCTTCCTTTGTTGGTGCGATCTGACATAACGGATGATTTAGAGCAAAACAAAAAAACAAGGTGGGCTCGGCACAGACAAATACGTGTGGCGTGGGTGATGATGTGGGTGAACGATGAAAAGGAGGACTCCGAGAGCTTTTGTTGTGATGCCAGGTCTGCCTGTGCCATGACTCATGTCCTCCTATCCGCAGCCACCAGAGCTCTGTTTCTACATCAGTCTGGCTCGGATTCAGATCTGAGCAAATGAGAGCACACTGTGTGCTCCTTTAATAAAGTGAGAAAAAAAAAGCCCAGCCGATTTGAAAGGCTGCTTGTTGCTATTGAAAGCTCATGATTAAGCCTGTTTACACAGTGCTGCATATGAGCACACACATAATAAGTGGCACAATGTGAGCGGCCAACAAACAGCATGTACCAAAAATGAGGGCTGTTCCAGTGCCCTGCTTTAAAGGATGTTAACTTTTTCTTCTACTTTTTTTTCTTTTTTGTTTGCATGGAAACAGAATGTTGTTGGAAATGTGATGTAAGTAGCCGGTGGTTTTTACAGATGTCATTCAGTAGCTGACCCCTTTACCCCCAATTAGTCTGTCTCTCTGGGTAATTATGTCTGACCTTTGCATATTCTTTATTAGAGTTGTCACCACGAACATGTTAACTGCAAAATTAATTTGCGAAATGAATCAGGTTAAACTTTTTAACCCATATGCAGATGATAGAACACTCTGTATCAAATTATTTCACTTTCCATTCACTTTGGGTTTCTCTTATACACAGTCGATACGTGTGTTGTAATTTACTCATATTGCTATAAAGAATCTTTGTTCTCGAGCCAACAACTCCCAGCATGCATTTGTGGTCATCTTTAGGGATGCTGATTTATCTCAATCATTTATGATCAATTACAATGAACAATTTCTGTAATATGATAAAGATTACTAGTAATTACTAGTGCGAAAAACGTAGTTTTAGCACAAAATTGACTTTATTAATTTGTTATGTTTTTTGGTGTGTAAATGTAGTATTTCAGTTGATGTAGTAGTTTATGTTTAGATCCAAGAAAGACACAGATCTAGAACTGTATACAATATTTATTGACAATGTAGTTATTTCAATAGTTTTCAAAGTAAAGATGAACACTGACTTTTTCAGGGTTTATATTAAAGAAGGGTACAGTTCAGGGAATGTTCTTGTGAATGGCATACACCAAGGGTTTTTTGCAAGGGTGTCGGCTAATAAAATAGCAGGAAGGATCAATGCTGCTGGGTGTGAAGTCCAGGACAGCAGGAGGCTAAGGCTTCTTCTGTGAGTGTGTGCAAACATGTACTCTGTCACCAACATGTGTCATTTAGTTGTTGTTTTTTTCTTTCTTTCTGTTTTTCAAAAGTCACTCTGCCCTTTCTTGTCCCAAAAGCCATTTCCATCTGATAGAAACCTTGTGTAGAACTTTAATACTTTCCATTCCAGAGACTTTCAATGACAAGCCATTTCCAAACCTGAACTCTGTACAGAGGAAGGGTTGCCATGAAGAAAAATCGACAGTCTTTTTCAGAGTCCATAGTGTGTATGTACTGTACGTAACCATTTAGTAGAGTATAAATGTGAAAATTTTGCCAAAATTGGATTTACAAGGTTTCAAACAACAGTGTGCATTTTTTTCTTTTCTTTTTTTTTTTTGTACAGAAGTATAAAAATACAGTATATAAAACAAAAACGCATTGTGATGTACAAACACGTTGAGCTGTAGGACTCATGAAGCTGACCTTGACCGCCAGTGGAGAGAGTGCTTTCAAATATTCAGTTATATTTTGGATAAACGATGCATGCGCGCACACACACACACACTCACACACACACCACCAATTTTTTCCTATTCTTAAATAATAGTAATTATATCATCATTAGATAATTGAGGTCTCTGACTTTTGAAGTAAGTGTGGTGGTTATGTTTTGCATATGTGCTATAATGTTACTACTGTACTGTTGGTTAAATGGTGTCATTTGACGTGCATTGTTGGGAAATTGACAAAAGAAGGAAAAAAATCTAAAATAATTACGACTGTATGTTGTTGTTAACAGTAATCCTGGATTTCACTGTGGCTGTCGTGCTGTTTTGAAGCACATGACAGTTTTGTCTGATACAAAGGCGTCTCACTCCTTATCACTTCAACCTCTCATCGTGTTTCTGTTTGTAAACATCTTGTTAGTTTGTTGATTTTTTTATGGACAGTGGTGTAATAAACCGCTATGGCTTCGTAGACACAGTAAAGCAAACCAAAAATAAATAAATAAACTACATTCATAAATAATGTTTACATTTTGGCAACAATAAAAACAATAAAAGTGATATAGTGACGCTGTGATATAAATTATTTACATTATTTTACATTTTACTCTCCTGTCTTCTGGAGTTATTACATTAAAGTGTTTTTTTTTTAAATATAAAGTATTTACATATAAGTGAACAAGACTTTAATATTTTCTCTTGTCTTGTCCATAATTGATGAAGTGTGTGGTTTTTACTGGGAGGTGATTTCAAATTTCAGTTAACATAGCCTTTTAATTCATTAAATGCCATTAAATAAAACACAGAAGTTGTTTGTAATTCATGACAAGAGATATAAAAAAACAGATTTGTGTTTGAGTGAAGTATTTACAAACTTTTTGTAAATAGTAGCAAACACATATGAATGATCATAATCCAAATCGAATAACTGAGGAGAAATTTATGCTGTTTGAGCCAAAAAAAACAAAAACAAAACTTTGTTAGTAGGAATTGATGTCACTGTGTTACCTAGGTGGATATTATTTTCAACAAACTCCAAAAAAAGCTCTAAATACAATAACAAAAATAAGAATTTTAAACAAATAAATTGGTACAGTGAGGCTATAACGTCCTGGGCTACATTTTAGTACATATTAATAAAAATCACTCTAGTACGTTGCTGTTTAACCATTGTTATAACTTTTACACACATTTTTATCGTGATTAAATCTACTGACCATTTCTCTCACCTTACATCTAAGCACCATGTGTCAGCGAACAGGACTGAACCAACCTTTATGGCTTCAAAGATTGTTTTACGTGTAAGCTCTCCTGTAAAAATGTCTGCTGTCCTAGCCGTTGTATATGCTGTGTGGGTTTCAAATGTAAAACTGAAAAAAAAAAATGGATGTAGATGAAAATCAAGTCCAGATTATAATTTTGATGATTAAGAAAAGGAGAAAAAAATATATATTTATATTTATAAATATTCCGTATATAATCTGCATTCATTATCTAATATTTAACTTTCATTTTTGTGCTTTTAATACTGTGTTACATTTCAGGGGGAATAAAATAAATCATTTTTAGCTCTAAAGAAAAGAAAGAAAAGCAAAAATAGAGCAGATTTTTTTTTTTGTTATAATTTATACTCAGTGCTATACAGTTGATATACATATTTAATTTACTTTAGTTAGGAACTCCCTCCTGTTGTCTACCCAAGACTCACATCCCATCTGAATTTGTTTTACTTTGTGGTTTGTTTTTTCCAGTTAGTCACTTGAGAGAATGTAGCTTCAGGTTGACTGTAACTCACGGGTCTATATCATGAAACGTATTGGTTTCTGGGAATAATTCAAAAGCATCAAAATGTCATGGCCAGAGTGATGTCACTAGAAGGGTTCTGGGTTTGATTCCACCTTGTCCCCAAATGCCTGGTTGGGTTGCGTCAGGAAGGGCATAAAACTGCCGAATCACTATGTGGTCGAAGTGATTATTTTCTTTTAGTAGTGAATAATGCTACTTTATTTTGATCAAAGACGTGATATTAGAAAATTGAGGCCTTGATACTTCAGTAAAAAATCAAGTAAAGGAATGAGGGTTTTTTTTTCTACTAATGGTACAGTTCAGGGTCATGTCAAACAATTTCTTTGTATTTAATGAAGTAATTTCCAACATAAAAAAACCATAAATATTTTAATATTGCACCATGAAAACAAAAGATGTAAAATCGAAACATTATCTTAAAGACCAGGCACCTTTTTGGATTGCAATCTTCTTCTTTTCGGAGTGAAGTCTTAGTTCCAGTCCGATGTTATATTCGGAGACAAAAGATTACATGAAACATTAAAACAAAAACAAAAAAATTGAGTAAGATATTTTCCTGTCACTGTCGTGTGTTTCTCTTTTTAGTTGACATAATAGAGCCAGTAAACTATATTGAAGAAAGAGAAGACTGTGGGGAAGATCATCCTGGACCATTTGTCAATAGAGTTTACGTCAGTCAATTCTGGGATGTTGATCTTAAGCTGTGAGGTGCGCCTTCGTAGACGGCTCTTCTTCTGAGTCATGTGACGCTCCAGTGTGTTTCGGCCAAAGTTGTGCCTGGCCAGCCCTGATTTGCGGTACTGCAGAGTCGAGCTGTCGTACTTGAGCATGGTATTTCGTGGGTCGTTGAGACCGAGAGCCAGCTCTGAGACACCCATATCATTTTTGATGTCCAGTGTGCTCAGAAGGATGTTTTCATGAGGGTCCATCTGTTCAAGCACAGCAGATGTGAATGTGGAGTGAGTGACTTTGAATAAAAATACCTGCATTACTTGAACCACTGAGGAATTTGAAACTTCCTAATGTAAAATACCTAATGTACTCTATCTCCATGTCCTTCTGATACTGTGCTGTAGCTTTGACTGAATACAGTGAGTACAAAAAAGACTAACTAACTGCGTCTTTTTGTTTCTCTCTCTGAATGTGCAACTTTAGGCTTTTGGCCCAATGTTTGGCCACAAAATGGGCAAAAAAAAATCTGGTTTTATTTTTTGTCAACACCGCTTGAAACACCTACACACTGTGAGCTGTAGTGTGTGAGTGTTTGCACATGTTGCACATGTGCGTAGGTGTGTGTACATGACAGAGTGAGGTAGTAGGAGGGCCTGAGATAATGTTGTCCTAAATAAATACTAATGAAAACACTCAGCCGGTTGACATTAATGATGTGTGAAATGACAGCAGTGGGGCCGCGGTGCATGGAGAGGCAGCCTGTTAAATATCAAGAGATCGATGTTGTAACAGAGATGTTATGTACTGTAAGTATGAGTACATGGTACTTATACGAGCTACACCAATGAACAGCACGATATAGTACTTGTGACATTGTTTTCCGTACCCTGTTCTTCTGATCACCCAGCCCGATCGCTGTGTCATCCACAAAGATTGGCTCCCACATGGATTCGTGCCCGTCCAGATCCCTCTGCTTCATTCTTGCATATAGAGTGTCGTCTCTGCCGACCACGTTCCCCACCAGCCACTAAAGTCAACCACAGAAGTTGTTAATTATGAGATCTGTCCGTGTCCATCAATACACTACAATACACAATAGTTTTGGATGCTATTTGCATGTGTTTAAGGATTAACTGTATTATACTGGCAAAGAGGGCAAACAATTATGAACTGTATTTTCTATATAGTTTTATGCTTAACTCCCATAATGCTTTGAAATTGAATACCTCTGAAAAAAAAATCCTAGGGATGTCTGATATTAACTTTTTGCTGAAATGCCGATATTGTCCAAACACCTAATTGCTGATTCCGATATCAGCCGATACCAATATATGCAGCTGTTTGCCCCCCAAACTGAGCTAAACATCTTAGCGATTCCGTGATGATGTTATCAGGTTTTCATTGTCGGAGGAAAAACTGATAAAGATTCTTACAGATATTACAACTGTGCTAATACCGGGCTGATATTATTTGACATCCCTAAAAATAACCAAGATGAATTTGTTTGATTTACTTTGTTTGGGTCCATCCTCAACTTTTCATTGTTAGCTATAGCTGTCTTCTTGGCTGCTTTTTTCTGTCGTTGCGGGCCCCGTCCAAAGAAGATGTAGTTGACCAGCGCGTACTCCAGCAGAGCCAGGAAGACGAAGACGAAGCAGCCCATCAGATACACGTCTATGGCCTTGACGTAGGGGATCTTGGGGAGGGTTTCTCTCAGATGGGTGTTGATGGTTGTCATGGTGAGCACAGTTGTGATACCTTACAGAGAAAACATGCCTTTAATTTTAGGTCTGTGTTTCTTGAGGAGTCTATGATCTGGTTGTTCAAATTGACAACTATATTTGTAAATTTGAACACATGAAAGTAAATATGTCAAGTCACTTCTCTGTTGAAGTTTGTTTCATTTTGACAATAGCGCAACGCTGCTGGTGAGCTACGCTAATTTGTAATGTAAACATGACAACAGTTAAAATTGATGATTTCCCACAGACAGTACGAGGAAATGTTCGGAATCGAGGAGAGCACGATTAACAAACTGAAACACGCTTCAACAATTAGAACGGTTTCGTTAAGGCCTTTACTGAACAAGGCTTCAATGGTAGAGATACTTTGAGATGTTTATTACTTAGGGTACAGTAACGGTTCTAGGTGAAGATTTTATTATTATTGTAATAAAAGCACAAAAATAGACTGTCCCAGTTTTTGTCAGGACTTTGTTTTGAAACGACAAGGCTTCACTGAGTGTAAGGCTTCAGCCATACACTCAGTGGTTCTCCCATGTCTCTGTGCCAGTTTTGATTCTTTCTATCTGCAGGGATTTTTTATGAGCGTCCTGATACTACGACTGTGTGCTGTGAGGATCAATGGAACTGAGGGTCTCTGTCACATGGCTTTCAACCATTGCACCCGGTGATAAGACATGTACCTTGAGCAGAGCCTCAATTTGAAATTCAAATGTCAACCTTGGTCTTGTTCATTAGGCGAGATTTCCCACTGAGAAAAGTTGTAGGCACTTTTCAAAAGCCTCACTCAGCGAGCTGTGGGGGAAATAATTGTCTGACTGACTTGGAATATCAATGTGTTGCTTATTCTGAGACCTGTCTTAACTTCTGAACGTTTTTTTTCTCCCTTATTTTTAAAACTAACCGCCAGCATTTTGGTGAATAATTACAGTGTTTATCTTTGTGTCATTATCTGTATGCTGAATAATCCTAATCAAGGATTTCCTGCAAATGAATAAAAACATTTTAGTTTTTTGCCTCGCAGGGCATTCATGGATCCTTCACATCCACCAGGGTCTGTTCTTTGAAGGCAGAAACCTTTCCTTTTTTTCCTTTTTTTTTGCTTAGCGATTTAGTAAACAATTAGTAAATAAATAGACTGTACAGCTGTCAGATGGCCTTTGCTCAAAATAGGATTTATCAACTCTCCAAAGCTGTCAGCCAAAGCTTAGCCAAACAGGCAGTGGATTTCTGCAACACTGTGAACATGTGATGCTGTTGCTGCAGGTTCACTTTAACGCCTGAAAACAGGTTAGAGCATTGGGACGTTGGAGTCCAGCCTAGTGGTGGTTTCAGTGGGGAATAAACACATATTTCCCAACTGCTGAACTCTTTCGATTTTGTAGAATTCCCCCTTTTTTTTCATCTAATTTCATTTGCGCCTCCCCCCAGGATCACTAAATGCAGCTTAGTCGTCAATCAGGGAAATTGCCTTGTCGACAAAAGCAAAGGGATGGATGGAATGGATTTCTGTGGATGGAGGACAGTGATCTTCACATAAACAGGGAAAATCATTATAGCATTTAAAAAAAAATACAAATACATCTAGTACTTAAATATAATTTCTTAAAATTATAAATATCAAATATGTTCTATATTGATGGAGGGTTTTTTTCTTTCTTGTTTAACTTCCTTCCGAGTTTCTCCACATACACTCGGCTCTCAACTTTAAATTCAATGTTATGAAAGTCGGCGTAATAGGCTAGAGCTGTGGCCTTTTCTTGGATTTCCCTGGTCAGTGTATTTCATTAAGCAGCCCTCACCTAGAGCCACTCTGGCAGCAGACGCATCGTAGTTGATCCAGAAGGAGACCCACGAGAGGATGGTAATAAGGATAGAAGGCATGTACGTCTGCAGGATGAAGTAGCCGATGTTTCTCTTCAGCTTAAAACTCAGGGACAGACGGGGGTAAGCACCTGAGGGGCAGTGAACAGGGAGGAGAAATATGAGGGAACAGCAAAGTCTGTGATGTCTAACCTGATCTTACCTTAGAAAAAACTTGTGGCACTGGTGAAACTACAACCATGGCTAAATAATAATAGTTTTTAGTTTTATGTAAATGTATCAATCAGACTAAAAGCTCATTCTTGGCAACCAAGTCCATAACCAGCCTGAAATGAAGATTCCATCCATGGTGAAGTTTACGATCCCTCCTTCCTTGGTTTGGTGCATAGCTAATAAGTAAATTGCTGTTTTTGTCCTGTGCACCGAAGTGAAGCATCAGCACTTGTTAGAATTAGCTGTTCCATTGCCTATGTGCACAGTATTGGAAGGGACTTGGTGTTTTGTCTGTTGAGGGTCTTTTGTTTTGCTTATCTCTGCTGAATTTCAAATGAGCACACAACGGGCTTTTGGTGAAGAAGAACTGTATCAGCACACACAATTTCCTCCTCTGGGGATTGACTGTGATTTTGGTTTAGTTGCACGACCAAATTACTGCTGGAGATGGGGACACACTTTAGGACAAACCAGAAGTTAGTGCAATATTCAGCACAGTTGCGGTAATTTACTAAAGACAAAAAAAAGAACGGTTAAAAAACGTAGAATCTTTCATTTATGATCGTGCAGGCCTCCGTCGTCCTCTGTCTCACCTTATATAAGTGTTATTATAGTTTATACATGCCATAATTCCTGTTTGTCAATCTGTGGTTATATGTCCGTCTTCTTTAAAATTACTGACCTCAGAAACTTTCATGGAATTTATAGCACAAATAAACACTAAGACTTGGTGACGTGCCAGGAGAAACTGCCCGGTCATCTGTCTGCTGTTTTCATAGATATTATATGCCACCTATAAAATATCACACTTAATAATTAATCTGATTATTAATCTGGATGCATTTTTAATTTATTTATTGATCAATTGGGATTTTAAAAAAATCAACATCCCTACATATGCTGTATTGTTGGTTTTAATTTGTGTCTTATCCAAATTCTGAAATTATAAATATGGAAAAATGTCAAGAAAATGAGATGAACTTAAACTCATACTTTAGCGTTGCTCATGGTGTGCAAAAATCAACATGCTTTTGACTATCTACTACAGCAACAACATTAATCTAATTAATCTCACAAATAGATTAACACTTAATTTTAACAGCCCTACATGAAAATAAACTATGAACAGCCCATAAATCTCAGCTCTTCCTGGAACCTCCACCATCACCACCGATTTACATAAAAGTGCCAGGATTATTTCTTGGTGAGGTGAGAAACAACTCAGGTGAAGACGAAACAAAGGAACGGTGAATATTTTATTCATGAGGGCAACAACAACATTATCCGTCCTGGCAGTGAAACGTGACACGTATGGCACTTATAATGGATAAATGCCCTGGCTGTTGTGCAGGCGTTTGCATTTCTGGTTGACCTCCAGCGTGGCCTCCCGATACCTCAGGAGACAGCACGTTACAAGGATTTCCCTGTTAAGTAGTACGATCAGAGAGTACTGCACTTGGGTTGACTTGCCCGCCGGCTTATTATTGGTGCAAACATGCACAGTTTCACTGCACAGTCGTCAGTGTGCATTATTATTTTAATAATGTTGTGTGTGTGTGTGCGTGTGTGTGTCCTCTGTGGAGAAAACAACCTCTTATTGTTGGAACCACCGCGCCTTTGCATTATTAATGGTGTGCTCTTATTCAGTACAGTAGCAACAGGGAAACTATTTAACCCAACCACTGTCCTGCATACGATCGCCTCTTTGCACAGCAGTTCTCTGTATATAAAAAGGGCGAGGAAATTAAATTTTTACTGCACAGGATGCTGTTTTGTATTTACTGGTAAATAAGTCGTGGTGTTTCCCATCTCCAGAGTGATTACTTCATTGTAAGGTTTGTGTGTCCGCGGTCATACGTTCATATACATCAAATTAGCAATTCTGGGAATCTGGGAAAACGTACTGTATGAGACATGTTTGGAGTACAGTACGTGTGTTGCTGTGAGTCTTATCATGATCAGCCTCAGTGGTTTCAGGAAACTCAGGTTAGTTGCATATTTTATGAGACGCTGGCTAAGCTGATGGGGTCGTTACCTGTGGAGAAGACGACATTCTTGGAGATGAGCTTATGATCCACAATGGAGAACTGGGGAAGTTCAATCTTGTCCACGCCTGTCACGGCGTTGTTTCCTCCTCGCCAGTAGAACTCTATGTCATCTGTTGTGTAACCATCTGCCGTGCAGAGCAAAGGAGGTATTACAGTTGTTTTTTAAGTATATTTCCTGTCATATTATAGGCATCAGTTCAGTGACATACAGAGTCAATAATTAAACATTAGGTTTTGGGTTTTTCTAACATCCCCTTGGTGATGACAAACAAACAATCCAAACGCAGTGGTAGAAATCATGGCTTTATGTTTGTTTGTGTGTTTCTGTGTGTCTCACTGTAGCTCACAGAAGGCAAAATCTTTCATTTATATTTGTTTTTCTCTCACAAAAATGCCACACGCAGTTTAATCAAACCCTGCAGGGACAAAAAACAAAATAATCTTCTTTTGAAAAACTCCATACAGACGTCCTGTCTTCCCGTACTTTTCCAATAACTGAATAATAAAAACTCTTGTTCAGAGCATGAATTATAAAACATACTTAAACATCCAACCTTTTATGTAGTAGCTTGGGAAAAACCTTCATACATGAAGTTTCTGTACTGTATACGAGTCGACTTATTATGCTCATCCCGTGAGCCGCTCCATTATTTATGCCATGAGTGAATGTGATTAAATAACCATGGAAAAAAGGGACAAAAAGTAAGAAGTAACTTCTATAGGGAGATGATTCTGATTTTTTTTTTTCTACCGTTGTGCAACACAGAGACTGTAGCGTTGAATGTCTGTGACTGTAGTTTGAACGCCTTGTGAAAACAAGAAGACTTCCTTCTCAGGTCTCTGTGACCACTGCCTAGTCAAATGCTGTTGATTGGGAAGTGAAACAGCGAGAGATAGAAATAACATGTGCGATGTGTGGGTGTGTAGATGGGGAAAAGGCAACATATGCAGCAGAAGAATTAGAATTTCAAATGAAGCTGATGGAAAGGTTAAACCGTGAGAATTCTGTCTATTTTTATCCTGGCTTTTTTGGAACAGTTCCTAATTTAATTTCAAGTCCTTTCTTATATAAATGACTGTAATTATTAATGTTGTTATTATTTTGTCTCTCTGCCTCCCACTCTTACCCTCCTACTTCCTTCTCACTCCTCCCCTCTCTGCTTAATTAATACTTGTGTGACCTATTTAGTTGCTGTGAATTATTAAAGCATATTCTCTGGTGTTTTCTTTCAGCGCACTCGCACTTTGACAACTCCTGCTCTTTTTGACCAGCGTTAACATGAGCGCTGGCCGATTTTCTCTTCCTTAAACCTGAAGATATGAAGCCAATTGACTTCAACAACGAATGCTATCTTTAGTTTATAAGGTTACAGAGGAAGACACTGGGAGGAAGGGTTTTTGTATATGTGAAGTTGAGGCTCGGGGAAGCACCAGCTTCTTTGCACATCATAAGTGTAGATGTAAATAAAATGTTGGAGATATAATGGAATAATGCAGGTTTGGTGCAGACTGGAATAATTCAATTGAAGAGACATGTCCTGCAGTGAGTGAAAAAGCCACACCTAAATATCCTTTATTGGAAGTTCACGCAAATCAGTATGTCAGCTCCCAGTAATTCATAGCCAGATTAGAACAGCCGACAGTTTTTCGATCACGTCATTATTTGTGTTTTTCCAAAAAACTTTCAATGTCAGATTTTTCTATTTGTCTGTGATGTGCCCTAAAAGCTCCCCCTGTTTAACAGTTCTTGTACTGCAACTAATACTTGGCTTTTAAGGTGAAGCTTTACAACTGTAGTGCAAAAGGCACCTTTCATAAAGGGTCCAGTAAAAGTATTAGTGGGTCGAAAAAAATAAAAATAAAAATTGTTCATGATACCATCAGAGGAAATAGCAATACAATACAACACAGAAGCTATTTAACTGGGCCCAGGCATATCTCCCTGCCCAGATCTGACTTTAGGCTTTTTTTTTTTATATCAAGATTATGAAATAATGTCTCAGTTGATTTGTTTCAGTGGGCATACAGTGGAAGGATAAAGGGAGATAAAACACCGGCTTTGATATTGTATTGGGTTTTATATAACTCTGTTCTTGGTAAGATAACACAAACCATCTACATCTAGGTACTGTAATCTGAGCAAAAAAAAAAAAAAAACAACAAAAAAAATTAAAGCAGAGTGAGTCCTTTTCAGCTGCACTTTTTTTTACAGTGTTTAATTAAAACCCTAACTAAACTGGTCAAACATGCATGTAATGGTTACATCAAATACCTCGCCGCCCGCCACCGCCATCCCTAGCACTCTAAATCTATGCCTCAGATGAATTTTTTATCCTCGCACATTTCAAAGCATCTTTAATGTCGTTCCTTGTGACCAATTAAAAATGTCTTCAAACCTTTTCGGTCTGCAGCAAACTGAGGCTTGTCGGCAAAGGAACATCTTCAGATAAGATAAATAAACTACCATGCAAGCCCAAGAGTGGGAACGGTTCACACCCCAGAGGAAGTGTGCAGTTTCTAAAAATGGCCTTTAATGGGCTTCGATAGTGAGTAAGAGATAGAACACGTAAGTGGCACTGCCATGTGATGAAGTCTGCTGGTGCAGAAAATACAGCTGTTACTTCCATTCTGTGTGTACCGTCACTGTAATAACATATTGTGCCTCTGTTTTGTTTTACTACCTTTCACAGAAACAGTTTGTTTTCACTACATGTAGGAGGAAATATCTAATAATTACTGCATATTTTTTATTTGTGATGCAACTTTAATTAATTTCGCAAGTTCCAAGTCGACTCGTGCAAGTGCTAGCCTGGCTTATCTGGGCACAAAAAGGCTCCCTGCGTACTTGTCACCATTTAGGGTTTATACGACAGCTGCTTATTATGAAGCCAACCTTACATCTTTGACAAGGACCTGCTTCCTGCGGAGGAAGAGCTACAGCAGCAACACAGCGTTATACATACACATTGTACACTGCACGGCGGTAACACTGTCCCAGAATACCATCAATTTAACCCTTTTAAATAATGCAGAGCGTGGTCTTTCCCTGCCGCCGTGGTCCTATTACATTAGTTTGAAGAAGTGCTGAGAACAGCAACACAACTTTTGGCTGACATGATTTGACCTCATAAGTGAAATACACGCCCTCTACTGGTGACACTGCAGGCAACCGTGTTCATGACTTTTATTGGCTATATATGTAATTGTATTAAATAAGATTTACAGGTAGTGGTTAGTATTCTGTGACTTTTGACCGTGTTCCCTTCTCTGGCCTGTGGGCTGCGCTGTGCCCTGTTCTATAAGTTTGCTTGAATAACAGTTTTATTTACTGTGAATCTCGTTAAAAATGTTTCCAGGAGAAACATGTTATTTATTTAGGTTTTTAGTTGGATTAATCGACACTGACTCCAGTACCAGTATTGGACAACCTGTATAATTAAATATACACTGCATTTACATAGAAAACGATGAGCAGACACAGACGATAGACACAGGAACAGCTAATCTGCAGGACTTCACTGTGACGTAAATGGGATTTCATATACACAAAAACATGGATTTTTTTTTTCCCATGTGTGTGGTAAAACACACACTACTGCACATGTGAACAGTACTGTGTACCATGGGTAAATATTTGGGGCTGCTACTTTTATATCCATGTATTCCTAATCCCTCATTATGCAAGACCTAATTAGATTATGCAAGACCTAATTAGATATAGAGATATAATCAACAAGTGTTTTTTTTTTTTTTTTGAGTTTGCAAAGTTCCTACGCTGCCAAATATATATCACATCACAAATATCACAAATATATACGTTTTATTTGCTTATTTTGTTTAAACATGTTACTGGTCAAAAGTTCCATAAACAATAGCTTGTATTTCTTGTTTTTTTTCCCATTTGCAATAATCATATAATTATATGATACAGATAATAAGATACAGTAACATTTTAAAGGGAATTCACTTATTGAAAAAAACAAAAAAGAAACAAATAAAATAAAAAAATAAATGAAAAATCTACAGAAGAGCACATTCTTCATGTCCACATTACTAATCCACTTGTTTTATTACAGAACTTTGATCTCTAAATCAATATCCATATTTAACTCACTTGTCTTTTTTTTAACTTTATTTATTTTCTGAGATTTTGCTTCAACTTACTTCTTCTAAAGCCTTGCAAAATAACTAGGAGTCTCCAAAATGAGGCATACATTTTCTCCGATAGACCAAACTACCTGCATCTCCAAGTTTAGAAGGTTTTTGTAGCATTAGTGTAAAAAGGCTGGGGCAGATTATGTTTAACATTTTAGTAAATCTGTGTTCAACTTTAAGTTACAAATTGTTGAGATCTCATCCAGACTCTGTGACAACAGACCAAACAGAGGCAGAAGAAATGGACGTCAAATGACACAGTTAAAGGGCTGCGTAGAAGGAGTCAGAATTTAAAGCTTTAAAATAGCCGACATGACGATCTTTATATTTCAGCTCTGACACAGCACGAAATATCAGTGAATTACAGATGGCAATAAATGTTACAAAAATAGGAAGCGTTTACTCACAGCTCTCTATCTCCAGTGTGCAGTTTTGCTCATCCAGAGGATATCTTCTCAGGTCCATCATACACGCAGCAGTGGTGGTGATCCTGAAAAGACAGACGAGTCAAACTGTATGGAGGAACCTCAACAAAAACAACAACGCAGTTATTTTTCACAAGGTTCAAAAGTAGTAGGAAATAATATTTATGTTGTAAGGATAGTTTTTAAAATCTATATCTGTACTTGTTCGTTTTGTCTAGATTATGTATATCTATTTATGTTGTAAGGATAGTTTTTAAATTCTATATCTGTACTTGTTCATTTTGTCTAGATTATGTATATCTATGTATATTTGTATATATTTATACAGAATATACAGCATATGTATATATGTATTTATCTATAAATCTTTTCTATTAATATTAATATCCATCCATCCATCCATCCACCTATCTATCAATCGATTGATAAATGCTGTCTGATTTGATACTTCATCAAATAACTACAGTGATTTAAAAACAAATGAATACTCGGTGACTCTTCTGTCTCTGATTTTGCCTGACCTTGTCAAAGTAATATCCAAAAATGTTTTTTTTTTTTTTTTTTTTTTTGTGAACTGACTGTGTCAGTATAAAAAAGTCCTTTCAGGATTAAAGCAGAAAAGCTAATCCTTCTGTCCTGTTTAAGCGTTGTTTGGATAATCCTACAGTTACTCTGTAAGGCTCCACCTGTGATGCAAGAAAGTACAAGCAGAATCTGGGCTGACGACAGCGGTGGTTGTTCACTGACAAATGCATTCGATATTGTCAGGAAATTGGTGATTAAGGGAAAACATGCTCCCATTTATTTGAAACACGGTAAAAATGAGAATAATTTCCGTTTTTATAATATTTGGGAAAATAACTGTTTGTAGTAACATTTTTGTAAAGTTGCAGTTCTCTCATTGAAGTATTTGAGATGCTGCTCTTCACCACTGTATCATGTTTGTCTGCCTTCGAATCTGTTTTTCACACTTTTGTTCACAATGACTTTATTTTTCCTAAAATTGAGATAAAAATCGTCCACAGTTAGCTGTTCCTGGCACCACTCCACATAAACAAAGAAAATAAAAAGACATGATTCATCCTGAGACCTTGATCTTTAAGCTAACGCAATTACTACCCCCCTCCCCCCCTTACCCCCGCATCTCTAGACAACAATGATCTTTAATAGCTATAGTATCCAGGGGATGTATAATGTATTACACATAAATAAAGCAGTGGCTGTTTCTTTTGGGAGACTGTCTAAATAGGAAGGCTGCTCTTTTTGTGTGTGTGTAGATAACTAGGGTCTGGTTAACAAAGACCTCAGATGATAGTACTCGACTCACTGGTCTCAGAAAAAACGTATATTGGATTGAACCTTAACCTTTTTCACTGCTGGTACCACATATCAACACCATGCGTTTAACAGAGTATGTTCACAGCGTGAGGCCCATAAAGGCTGTGGATTATGGACATGTCAGCAGGCCCTGAGGTGATTTTATAGACACATACAGGAGATCTGGTTCAAGTGACGATGGACCATAAATCTGACGCCTGAGGCTAAACAGCTGGAAGTTCCCCCTAAAGGAGGGAGAAATAAACCCTACAATAGCTTTGGTGATTTAAGACCCATTGATATTTATTGATGATATTTGATGCTTAATTTTCTCTGTGAGCTTTTTATCAGCCATGTTTTTTTTATCACCTCACACCTCGCTCCTCTGTGTTTACTGTCATGTGACTTCAGGAGCATCAGGTGAACTAACAAGGAGGCTCAGCTGGGCAGCAGCACTCACTCAAAGAGCAGAGTGAAATGACTGAGAGGAAAAGGGCCATGACTTTGCTTATATTTTGAGGGACAAAAACAACACAATGAATTATTTGACGCTGGATAATTCATGGCAGCATCCAAATCTAACATCCTAAAATGAAAATTAAGATAAGTGAATTGCTATTAGCCAGGAACTGTTTTGTCCACAGAGCCGGGGCTTCTGGGTAACTGCCCCATTGTATCCTGTGCACATGCATCACTGTAATGGTATTTGGCTCTATCAAAACAAATTGATAGGAATAGATCATAGAGGACAATCATAGCAGCCAGCCATGAGTCACT